TAAAAAAACATATGTTTTTTGAAAAAAAGAAAATAAGAATTGTTTCTTTTTTACCAAAAAATATTATCTTTTAAATAATATATTATATTTGTTTAAAAAGATTTACTAATAAGTATATAAAATTTATTAGATTTTTTTTTTGAATTATTCATTAATATAATAATATTAAAAAATTGTAGATCACAATTTATCTTGCTAACATTTTAAAGAGAAATTTAAAAGGTATGCATTTTTTTGAACAACATAAAATAAGTACTTTTTTTACAAACAAAATATATCTCGAAAATAAATGTATCATATTTATTTAATAAATATTTTACTCTAGGATATTTCATTTGCATGCAATTTAATAAGAAAAAGTCAAAAAAAGTTAAATGTTATTTTAAATCATTGCAATGAAAAATGAAAATCACTAATAATAATTTGAAATAGGTTTTTTTTATTTCAGTTAAGTTATCAAAATGATGTGTCATCACATCACTTCATTAAAGCCAAACAAGCAAAAAAAATCAATGGGTTAACCGGTTTAAAAAATAACAGGTAATCTATTGCTAGAATGGGTAGATTTTTTAAAGTACAATGTTCTAATAAAAAATAATTTGAAAGTACATTGATGTAATAAAGAAAAATAAAAGTAGAATGCTATAATAAGAAAATTTATGAAAGTATGTTGCTATTTAATGTATTTAACCCTTTTTTAACAAATTCAAAATCGAACCTACTCAAGTCTACATATGTGTTGGGCTTGATGCCCCTAGGGCTTTGCTGCCGTGAGCGACGGCTATTTTGCCCAGCATATGGCCGATATGAGCTTTTTCACATTGGGGATTTAGGACTAGGGCCGTTCCTGGGGGAGGTGGGTCAGACATACGCCCAGGGCCCACAAGGAATAAGGGTTTAACTTTTTTTTTGTATATAGTATATAGTATATAGCAGTAGTTCAAAAAAGTTAATAAATAAAATGGAAAAAAGTAGTATCTAATGTGATTCAAAAAGAATTTAGCATTATATTAACGGCCCAATCATGTGTACATTAGAGAAGAAAATATGCAAAAAATTAATTGGTTGTTCATTTATTGTTTCTCTAAAACTACCTTGCATTGAAAACATTGATATATTTTCCACCATTCATCTCCTACTAACGCTTTTGATAATTCCATCCACATAAATTCTATTTTTGTATTAGAATATAGTAGATTTCTTGCTATTAATTAAGAAAACTCTTATTTTTTGAAAAAAATTATCAAGTATGTGAGATGATCCAACTTATATCTATATTTATGATTTTAAAACTACTATGGTCTTTTTCATACATTATTCACTCCTTATTACCTAACATTGAGTGCATAAATATTAAGTACTCTACTATCTCTAAAACGACAATAAGATCTCAAACTATAACCAAGATGGATTTTTTATTCTAAGATTGATGGTCCCTAAAAGCATTGTTTTATCCCGAAAGGTTAAAATGGTGATAAAAATATTAGCATGATGTGAGATGGAAAACCAACTGACTTATATTGATTTACATAAAATGTTAATGATGTCAATCTATATACTAAAGGTATATCATAGAATGTGTCTGGTACTGGAACAGATTTACGATGTTAGATATAAATGATAAGATAGATAATATTAGTTTAAAAGTTATTATTGATTGATTTTGCATCTAGTAATACTCAGAAAAACGATTTTATATGAATTATTAGTATTCTTTGAATTCACGTAATTTCTGATGATAAAATACTATATTGAATCTTTTTGGTATTATCAAGGGCCATTTTATATATCTCGTCTATAATTTATAAAATGTCAGAAAGGACACGTTTAAGACTGAATAAAGGGAAAGAAGATTCCAAGAGGGAGGAGAAAAATTACCAAGAAGCCTATTTTTTTCACCTGTTGAATATTGAAAAAGGATATTTTTTATAAACTCTAGAAAATGAATATATGTTACATAACTAGAAGGGTACCCGTGCAATGGAGTGAGACGTCTCTGTGATGTTTTAATACGGTTTTTATGTGGGTTTGAGAAATAGATAATGTTTTTATTTTTAAATAAAATATTAGTATCAAATTAACTATTTAAAACTTCTTGTTTTTCATGTAATTTCTTCAATTCAATTTTTTTATTATGATTTAATTTAAATTTAATAACAGAGTAATTTATTTTTGATTTAATAATATAAAATTGTTAATAAGAATAATAATTAAGTAGTATGTTAAAACTCAATAATTATCCTAATTATATTTTAGGTTTTTTTATATTTAAAATAAAATGTTTATCTTGTATTTGACTATGATTATCTGCATTTAGTTACACGAATTCAAACATGAAGCTTTAATAAGTTGTACTTACGCACAGTTTGTTTGTAACCTGTAATTTTAAATAATATGCATCAATAAACAATACTTCAAACATAAAAAATGGTTTTTAAGAGTTTTTATCAAATGCTTTATAATATAGTAATGATAATGAAACATCAAAAACAAATAAGATAACAAGGCATCAAAATATTTGTAAAGGAGGAGACACATGACACAATACGACGATAAATACAAGTTATAAATTGACTCAGGAATGCAAGCTCTTGCACTCAATAACTTCCAAACATCATCCCAATAATTTCACCTCGGATTCTCTTTTAATATTCCACAACTTTTGGCTTAAATTACAATCTTACTTAATTCATTATTTTCATATATATATATATATATATAGGTCCAATCAAAGAATAATTTAATTATTTGTGATAATTGTGAGATCCAATCTTAACCACACATTATTAATAATCAATGGTTATTATTAAACATATTAATTTTAGTAATTATTCATTAATTTTCAAATAATTTTCAAATAATTTAAATTTATTGATAATATATAAGGGTAAATTAGTTTTTTTTAAATCTCTCTCCTCTCTCCCTCTCTTCGACCAAGAATTTCTAACAATAAAACACAAAACAAATATGATACACGTTGTGACACCCAAGAATTTATATTAGTAAGACGCAAAACCAATTGTGTTACACATTGTGTTACCACTGTGATAACGTTTTGAACATGAGTTGATAATAGATGATCAGAGTTTTAGGCCCCACACAACTTAACCACAATGTGATACACGACTGTGATACAATTTTGTTATAATTAAGGAAACCGAATTCTTGATGATTAAGAAAACCGAATTTGATAACTATTAAATAAGAAAAATGTTTAAATTATAATTAATTATTTTACTAATTAAAACACTCTTACCTATTAATTAAGGTAATACAATTAATATCATAAAATGATTGGCTCATATTGGAACTCACGGTTACCACAAACTAACTAGTTCTCATTTGATTAGGCCCATATATATATGGTATATTTCAAATACAATTATGTCCGTTTGTACAACCAATACACCCCACACACCTCCTTATCTTTTGATGAGGTTTGGACCGCTGACTTCCTAGGAGACCAAAGGCTACAATATTATTAGATAATATATTTTCTTAAATAAGATAGTTTTATTAGAAGTTGTTCTAAAAGATGGTAATATTTATATGGTATTTCTTTAAAAATTATTTATTTATTGAAATGGCTGTAATAATATAAATGCGTAAGTTGAAATTTAAGTTTTAAGGAGTAATTTATTAATAAGTCAAAGCTTTTATTGTATATTTGATATTTTGTGGCTAATAAAAAAATGATGCTTATTTATTATATATTAAATTAATAATAAAAAAGTGAATTAAATAATTTACCTATGATGTCACTCTCATTTATCAAGGGACAAAGGGACCATGGTGTTTTCTTGTTTAAGATTCGTATGAAAATGACAATATCTTTTTCAATATTCTTTTTTGCTACAATTATTTCCTTACTTTTCTATCTCACAATTCTTATTTATAATTATTAAATAATTTATCCAACCATTTCTGTAAGTTTAATATTTTACGTTTTATTTTTAAAATTATTAATCATATCTCAAAATAAATATAACTTTTAATTTAATATATATTTAAGAAAAATCTAATAACTATGATATCTTGTAATTAATGAAAATATAATATATTAAAACTTTTATCAAAATTCATAAATTCATAACAAGTAACTTTAAATTGATCAACATGGTATAAAATTTTGAATTTTTATTTTTGAAATAATTTGAATTTTCATTATTTTATATCTATTTTTAAAAAGGAGAAAATAATTTTTTTTTAAAATTCCACACCAATTTAATCATACTTTATGTGGAAGGTATCTCTCCACGTATCAATGAAACCAACGGACAATAAATCTTGATCTAAGTTTACATGTATTTTTAAAAACCTTTTGTTCGTTCCTATTTTCGATAACATAATCTCAAAACTTTCATTTTAGTATTTAAAACATAATCTCATACCACTGATCACGTCAACAAATAATACTGAATTATTTGTAAATTTTCAAAAAATAAATACATTTGTAAAATTTACATTATTGCACCATTCCATGTGTCCCCTTTTACCCCACCATGGGTGTCTATAAGTCAAATAAATAATAATATTTTTTTTGAAGTAAAACTATTCATATCCCAATTGATTTTAAAGAGCTTTGTAGTTAACAACAGATCGATTTTGGCCATAAACAAATTCAGGGGTGTTTAGGATTGCTTATAAAAATAATTTATTGACTTATTTCGACGTGAAACCGGTAATAAGTATTAAGCTCAAAACCTATAAGAAACAAACTCAAAAGCTACCAACTGCATTTTGAATGATGATATGTTAATCGGTTGCAAATTTTCAGCTTTTCTAGTTTATTCACCATTGTGTCTTGCAAAAACCCTAGTTCCAGTTTAATGTATATCACCTGGATTAAGAGTTCAGTGGGTTTAGGGTTTTCCAGCTTCTAAGGTATAAATTTTGAAGACGAATATACATATACATATACATATACATATATATATATATATATATATATGAATTGATCCCAAAATTGAAGGAGATCTAGGGTGTATAAACGAAATAAATGTTTCATTGAATTTAGAAAGAAGAAGATCAAGAATCATTGTGATGCTTGTTCCATGAAACAAGCATGGAGATACAGCGCTTGAGAATGTAAAATCTTGCCTTGTGTTCCTTGGTGAAGCTGCTGCATTTGGTGGTGAAGTTTGCAGATTTGGCTCTGGACAGAGATGGGGATTTGGAATTGGAATTGGAATGGGAGGTGGATGATTTTGATGTCGTCTTGTGTGAGAAGGATCTCTGCAGAGGTGATTTGGAAGAAGCCTTGTGTGATTGCGATTTGCTTCTTTTCAAGAATGATGAGGAGGAGGATGATGATGAGGAGGATGAATGGTTGCATGCATCCTCCTTTGAGAGTTTCCACTTCTTCTCCATATTCCCTTTCCAGACACAGAATGTGAGATACTGGTAATCTATATATAAAAAGGGGAACCCCAACTGGTGCGTTTACCAATAAGTCACTGTGATTTGGTGTGTCTATTAGTGTGTGTCTACATATATATATATATATATATATATATATATATATATATATATATATATATATATATATA